TAAAAACAAAAGGAATCAAGACGAAGCGAAACAAACTCTTCCTCGGAGCAAACTTACAGCCAGTCTGCTCACTCTGCTCTACGGGCGACCGATCTTCCTGGCTTTTCGAAACAACATGGAAGGGGACTGTGTCACCCATTAGCGACTCGCATGGTTTTAAGGAAGTATTTAATTGGGCCAGGAAAAGAAGCCCACCCCCCTGCAGCTGGCGTCTCCCCCTCTCTGACGCTCCTTCCTTCCCCATCATTTTACGAAAACATACCCAGGTGACAAGGTTAAATCAAGCACAGGAAAATCCCTAGCACTTATCATCCGCCGGCATTACTGATAAATTGTGCAGTGGAGGAATAAAGGATTACCTTCTGTATTTTTTCATTACACTTTTCTTTTGTTACCGAATACATAAATCCATTGTGGCACCATGTAATATGTATCATCGCGCTACACCTGTGGACGCCTCGTAGCGGCTGCCATGTCTGTGCAGTCAGAAATGATGAGTGAACCCCCCGTGAATGTTAATGATACTGATCATTCAGAGGTAACTTGGCTTTCCATCTTCCTTTACAGCTTCAACGCTGGAGCCAGGGTGGCAAGGTTCAGGAGAGGGAAAATGAAGGGAGAAAGGAGGAGGAGGAGGAGGAGGAGGAGGAGAGGGAAACTACCCTAGAACAAATAAGGAAGAGGCTGGAAGGAGAAGACTCTGATGCCTACGGTGGTGCTGGGGAAGTATACAAGGGGCTCACCCTTGGGTTCGACTTAGGCAAAGCCGTGCGGGAAGAGAATGGAAAGGAAAAGGAAAAAGTATACCCCAAGGTCCAAGGCAGCGGCAAAAGTTTGTTGCAACTACCGAACTTGGCGACAAAAAAAGCAGAACGGGACTGGAAAAGAAGAAGCCCACCTTCTCATCTCAAATCTGGCCTGGGGAAAGCAAATCCTGTTCGTAGCTCACAGAGGACCCGCTTTGGCCGCCCGGCGTTTCTTTTCAGGAGGTGCTCCCGAGACGGTTCCGTACACGGAGAGCTCTGTGTGTTTTGGAAAGAGGATGAAAGCTCTCGTGGAAGAGATCTAGGGAGGATCTGACTTGGAAATAGTTTCCAGTCCCTTCTGTCTATCAAAAGGGCTCCTGTGGCCAAGGCAGATCAATTCAGAATGAGTGTTGAATTCGGAGGAAGTACTGAATGTTCTTGAAGTCTAGGGATTTTCATTACAAGCTACGTCCAGGCCTTCAAGTTGTGGCTTATGAGTCGCCACTAACCTTTGACCTTCAGAAATTGGGATGCCAGAGAATGACTTGGCTGTTTCTCACTCCCCTCGCAGGATGAGTGGAAAAGGAATCCGTTTAAGTGGTCACCGATATGAAATTAAAGAGCGAGGGTCAACCCGGAGGAAATTCAGTTGGAAGGGATCATTGAGTCTGGCCCCTGTTATGGAGGCACGGTGGGGAATCAAATTCCTAACCTCTGATTCTGTGGCCGGATGCCTGAACCCACTGAGCTATCCAGCCAGCTAGATAAACAAAAAGGGGAGTGCAAATGAATGGGCAAAGATGTCCTAGGCGTTATAAACAGTTGCAATGGGTTGTGAAAGGGGCCGTCACCCAACTTCATTATTCTATGGTTCGAAGATAGATGGAATTCCTAAAGGAAGCCAACTGGTTTGAGTCTACAAGAGCTGAGCCAAGGCTGTTGAGGACAGATCATTTTGGAGATCGCTCATTTATAGGGGACGACAGAGGACGAGAGGGTTGGACGGTGTCATTGAAGCGACCAACACGAATTGGACCCAATTCCAGGAGGCCGTGGAAGACAGGAGGGCCTGGCGTGCTCGGGTCCATGGGGTCACGAAGAGTCCAACACGACTAAACAACAACAACATTTATAGGGTTGCTGTAAGTTGGGAGGTGACTTGATGGCATACAACAAAAACAGCAGCAGCAGCCCACAGTCAGCTAGCAATTTTGCTGCCCGATCGAAGGTCTGATCCTAAGTTTCCTTTGGCTGAACTTCAACGCTCTTCAGCGCTCCACGTTTCAACAATTAGGAAATTGACAAAGAGAATCCCAGCAGCCCATTTAACGCCGCTCCGTTTATGGGGCCAGCGATGGCTCAGCACGGCTCCGTTCAGAAAATCCGACTCCACAAGGAAAGCAGCTTTGCCGAGGGGAGCTCCAGCGCCCGACATTGGACAGGAGCGGCTCCTTTTCGTTCCTGGCCGACGGTTTTTTCCAGCAGCCTGCTAGACGAATGGCCGTTCAAAACCAGGATGGCTGCCCTCCGTCTTCTCCTTGTATAACTTTGCCAGAGTCCTTGGGACTTGCCAAATTCGGTCATGCCTGCTTAGCTCGCGCAACTGATTGTGCCAGAAAAGAAAATAAGACACAGATGTATTTGAGCGCTTGGAGATGCCAACAGGAGAGACAGCTAATGGCTTCATTTCGACCCTCCTCTACCAGCTGGGCACAGGTGGGGGGGTATAATGAGGTGCCTCTCCCTAATCAAACTCAATTATTTACTCCTCTCCATAACCACAAAGACATTTTAAACTCTCGGCTCGGAATATATGGGCGATTTCCAACTTCCGCCCCTGGGTACAGATAAACCAACAGGGGTGCTTGAGTTTGCCTTGGCGAGACTCGAACCGGCGCAACGACCTGTGAACGGCTTCCGTCAAAAGAGGACACCCGGAAACTGGGCTACCGCGCAAACTGCCAGAACTTTGCTCCGCTGGCAACGACAGATTCTGTACAATCTGTGCAAATCGGCTCCAGATATTTGCTCTTGTTGGTCATCTCCCACAGCAGGGGTGGGCAACTAGACGCCTCCAAGCTAAATGTACCCTATTCCAGACAGCGGCTGACAGGGAAGCTTCAAGTGGTGCAGAATGGCTCCATGGTCTTTCTAAGGATGGCTATCAAGCATATATCCTTTGGGTGCAACCTATGCTGGTGGTTCCTTCCAAAGGAGGCGTAAAGAAATTATAGATGCCACCATTTTGGTTTTTACAGAGGTCAGTCTTCTTTCTGCTCAGCTTTCGCCCCTCTTTTGTTGTCTGCTAAGGTCTGTTTGCTCAAAGCAATCACGTCTGTCAGTTTGCTGTTTGATCTATTCAACAGTAAGTAATGAAGCCTTTCATTCTTTCCCCTACTAACGTTTTGGAGTGAGCTATTAAGACTGTAAGTGCCAGGTGATGACAAAAAGAAATGGAACAGTCTGGGGAATTTAAAGCTATTCTGCTCTGTGAATTCCTGAACTTCTGCTGCACAACTAGAGGAATTAAACAAAAATTCAAAATTCTGCAACAAGAAACAGCTTTGGATGGCTACCTGTGACACTCTGATGCCATAGCTCAGTGGTTTAGGTGTATGCCTGCAAAGCCAGAGGCTGGGAGTTCAATTCCTGGGTGCAACTTATGGTGGTGGTTCCTTCCAAAGGAGGTGTAAAGAGTCCATTTCACATCTCCCAAGACTCATCACGAGACAAAGCCTCAGAAACCCACGTAATGGTGAGTTCACTTCACACACAGGAAATGATGCAAAGGTTTTAGAAATGCAAACAGCTAAAACAGGGAACGATTACAACATATGCCCAAAGGTACTTAGTGAAGGGCAGAATGGAGACACAGACGTATACATTAAGAAAAATGCATAGATATTTCTATGTAGGAAAGAGAGAAATAAAGATAACACAGTTGAGTAGAAGATCTGGCTTGCATAACTGCTTGTTGGAAATATATTTCTGGAATGTGAACTATGTAAAATAGTTAAGTGGAGAACACTGGATTTCTCTCTGTTTCAGAATGGTTAAACAGATGTCATCGTATCCTGCCAGATAGCTCAGTGGTTTCAGTATGGTTGGGAGTTTGATTCCCCGCTGTGCCTCCTTGATAGGGACTGGACTCAATGATCCATAGGGCCCCTTCCAGCACTGCAGTTCTAAAATAATTCCCATTCTTGCTAAAAAACCATAAAAAGTTTGTGTAAATAGGTCACGTCTCCGGATATTCAAGACTGCCTCCTGGTTAGCGATGGAAAAGAATTTTAGCAGTTCCGAGATTCTTGCTAAGACAGTTCATTTCACATCTCCCAAGACTCATCACGAGACAAAGCCTCAGAAACCCACGTAGTGGTGAGTTCACATCACACGCAGGAAATGCCGCAAAGGTTTTAGAAATCCAAACAGCTAAAACAGGGAACGATTACAACATATGCCCAAAGGAACTTAGTGAAGGGCAGAATGGAGACACAGACGTGTACATTAAGAAAAATGGATAGATATTTCTATGCAGGAAAGAGAGAAACAAAGATAACACAGTTGAGTAGAAGATCTGGCTTGCATAACTGCTTGTTGGAAATATATTTCTGGAATGTGAACTATGTAAAATAGTTAAGTGGAGAACACTGGATTTCTCTCTGTTTCAGAATGGTTCGATGGAAGACAAATTGTTTCGGAGACCCAAACCCAACTGCCGTGTCAGTAAGAAAGAATTCGCTGTTAGAAATCCTACCGCAAAAAATAAATGGCTGCGTATGGAGACCACTGAACTCAAGGGACTTTGAGCAGATGTTTATAGGGCTGTGATCTAATTTTTAAGCTATTATTTTATACAATTTTTAAGCTGTTTCAAAAACCAGAATCAATAATCAACGGAGAAATGTGTGAAAAGTGGTCTAGAGCAAATACAGATGGTGTGCCCAGAGAGTAAGATAACTCCGAGGAGGTTTATCATCATCATCATCATCATCATCATCATGATCATCATCATGATCATCATCATCTTGCCAGACACCTAATAATGGGTCCAAGCTGCAGGAAGCCAGATTTAGGCTGAACATCAGGAAAAAGTCTTAACTGTTAGAGCAGTACGACAACGGAACCGAGGATCTCACGAGGTAACGAGTGCTCCAGTAATGAAAGCATTCAAGAGAAAATTCCGACTCTTATGATTCTGTGATTTTAAAAATAAACAAAACACTTTTAAAAAAAGCCAACCGGCGGACTCACATTCGGACGAAGAGGGACTGCTTGGCCGCCAAGCCGGGGGATGAGTACTTCTCCACCAGCGCCAGGGTGCTGAAGCCAAACTTGTGGATGGGCTCGTTGCAGTCCAAGGGGGGGAAATCTGTGTCGACCTCGCCGTCATCTTCCGCAATGTGGAGACAATAAGCGCTGACGTTGTCACTGCAGGAAGGGAGAGGAAAAGGGTGTGCTAGTCTCGGTGCCTACTTGGCCCTCAACCACATTAGTTAATCCTCTACATAGCACCTTGAACACCTCTCATTGTCCACCATGTCAGTAATATATATATATACTGACATGGCGGACAATGACAGGGGAAAAAAAGATCAGAATAGTTTTTAAATATGCAGTTTTAATATGAAAACTATTCTGATCTTTTTTCCCCCTGCCGTCGTCCACCACGTCAGTAATCGGAGTCCCCGGTGACACGAAGAGCTGCCTAAACCCGTTTTGAGTGGCAGTCGCTTTCTCCACTTGGCAGTTCAAATCTGGAAGTTTTAATTGCCTGACTGATGCGTAAATTAATTAATAGCAAAGCGCATGCTAATTGTTTAATTGGTCGCTTGATCTATATAGATC